ATTGTTTTATTTTGCTGGAGGTTGTGCTTAATCGCCGCTTAACNCATTTTAAGCTTGCATTGTGAATGAAAGAAATGCACGCTTTAACTGGGAAAAAAATTTAAAGATAAAAGATTTTTTGTAAATTCTTTTGATTTTTGTTAAAGCCTTTTCTTTTACAAAAACATCAAGCTATAAGTGAAGAAAATTGATTGATAAATTGGTCAAATGAAAACACGTAATAATTTCTTTTTTATGAAATACTAGCAGACCCGGCGATCTTCGTCTTTGTAACTAGTACACGTGGTGGCTATTTCAAAATGTGGAGTATCATTGGTCCACAGAAATCCAATAAACATAGACTTATTTCAGACGAAATAACTTAAATATCTAACAATTGTATTTGTAGAATCAAGAATTCTTTATTCTGTTTAGTCGCCGTAAAGCAAGCACCGCAATGGTTCTGGTGGTTGATTTAACGGTGCTAATTTGATTTTGACCCCTGGTGTCTCCGAAAGACTTCACTTGACAATTTTTACCAATAACTCGATTCCAGCTCCACCTTGTAGCTATTTTTTTTTTGAATAGTATTGCCCTATCGTTAGCAAGATATTTATATCTCGAATACGAGCCAAATCGGATAATAAATACGATTTTTAGTAATAACTCGACTCCAGAGCCACCTGGCGTTTTAAGTTGAGAACCTAAATTATACAGGGACCCACTCAAACACATACCATAAATTCATTAAAATTGTTTCGGTCGGTTAGGAGGATTTCGCTCACAAACACACGTACCGAAGAATTATATATGTACTTACAGATAGGTAGAAGTTTCAGTATATTTGGAAGGCGCCACGCCCCCTTTTCTCCATGAATATGGGATTGATTTCAAATATCTCCATACCAAGTTCCAGAACTCTACCACAAACACTTCCAGAGATATCGAAATTATTATCAGCCTAGAACCATCCTTGGAAAGTCTGCAGTAGGTGTCCAAGATTTCAAAAAAATCGGTACAGCCGTTCGCGAGATCACCTCTCATAAAGAGAAGGAACTTCTCTTTATATAATTACTGAAGATAATAAAGATAGATAAATAGCCAATACCCGGATGCTTTCCGGCGCCTTAAAACACCTTTCGAATTGTAAAACCGTCATTCAATTCTATTCCCTGTTTATCCATAATACGGATACCGAATTTCAAGTAAATCGGACCTTAAATAAGACTTTTCGAATAGATTGGTCCCTGGTCCATTTATCAGAAAAAATTATCCTATATGTTAATCCAGGCAATAAGCACGTAGGCCAAATTTCAATCGAAAGAGAGCCGCCCCTGGTCTACTTACCAGAAAAAAAGTAAACTGTTTTGGCCCTTGACATGGTGGCTGCAGAAAGCTATTTATATACACAATTTCATGAAAATCGGACCTGCCGTTCGCGAGATGACTTGTTACAAAAAAAGAACTTCTCTTTATTTAATTAGTACAGAGCAGAGGTGGGCAGCCTCGACAGAGCATTTTTGTAGCGTGGAAGAAGATGACTAGGAACGAATGTTACTCATACGCCATGTATGAACTATTAATGAAATCATACGATGGTCCTCTGCAATGACGGCAGAGCTAAAAATTTCATGTTTTTGAGTTATATAGCGGAAAGCTTACAAATTTTCCCTACAGAATGACTGCAAATAATTCAGAATAATTACGTTAATAGACATATTATTGCTGAATTACGAAACACAAAATGTTTAATAGGCTCCACTGAAAAATATGAAGTTTGAATTGTGTCGTTATTGCAGAGGACCATCGATATTTGTGTGGAGATTATTAGGCATCTTCATTTGACCATTTACAACTTTATTTATCGATCAATTTTATCGTTGATAGCTTGATGTTTTTGCAAAAGAATATCTTGCGAAAATGACCTGATCTTGAAAAACGTATACAGGGTCGTAATCTACGTGTGTCGGCGTTTTTGTATGTCGTTTTAGCGTTCTTAAAGTTAATCAAATTAAGGCATCTAGTACCGGGATTCGGGATCCCGAATCCCGGGAGTCCCGAGTCCTTTATTGAATTTCGAGTCCCCGGGATCAAGCCCTCGGGATCCTGGGACCCTGGGACATAATTTATTTTACGACCAAATTAAAATAAAAAGACATTCAGACACTGTAATGGCATAAAAGTATTATAAAATGCAACCCTACAAATAATCAAATAATATATTACAGTTCTAACACTACGATTATTCTATGTTAAAATATATATAACATATATATGAGGCATTCTTTTTCTTCAGATATACATATGATTTACAATTTTCAAAACCCATAAAAAAATTTGAAGCGAATCGGAGACATGACATAATTGTCTTGTGGCATACTAATATTAATAGACATATTTCAATTCCATACATTTTAGTTTATTCAGTTAGTAATTGGCTTTTTAAACTGAAATAAATTAAGAGATTTCTTCACTGAGCCAAAAGCACAATGGTTTTTTCAACCAAGTGATGATTTGATTTTTTCATGGTCAAGAAGCCGATTGTAAGAAATATGATTCAAGTTGAACATTTGAGATCAAGTTCGTATGTGTTACAGTGGCTGAACGAGCAGATGTGCTTGCTGTTATTTGTTCGCTTCCAGAAGTACGAATGTTTGGCGATTCCTTATTACGAAAACGCCTCTGTGAAGTGCAGAACCAAATCAAACGACGAAGAAAATTGATTCAACTGGAACATTTGAAGACACATTTTTAAGCTCGGAACACTTTGACGACTGCAACTTCACGACGTAACGACAGCGACATCATTTTGTCGACAAATGTCGCCTTGAAGCCAGCTTCTTAAACATTTTGAAGACCTCAGCGACATAGCAAACAGCTGATTTTAAAGTTTGATATTTTGGTATATTTATTTCACAAATTGTGTATTTTGATTTATGTAAATAAGAAAAAACATGAACAATCA